CCAACTCCTCCCGCCTGCCTACATGAGTTCTGGGCTTGCCCAGTGAGTCTGAGTCTTGCAGGAACCAGGTCTGACTAAACCTGGGGTTTCGCTGCCCTAGTTTCATTCTCCAGCTGTGCCCACATAACCCTCCACTCCCTTCCCCACTCTTCACCCTGTAGCACTGCACTCTCTGAGAGAGCTTAGGCGTGGGTGTTGTGGAGCGCTCTCGAGTCACCCTTAGTCCTCACACTCAGGCATTCTGTTTGCTGAGTGCCTACCAGCCCCACAAGGGCTGCTCTGGACATTACTTGTAACTGCCCCAGAAACACTGGATGTACTAGCAGGGAGAGTCCAGGTCATGATGAAAGTTGCCAGTGCTGATAAGGAGTAGCGAGAACTTGGTTATGTAGCAGTATAAGTGTGTGACCTCTGTTCTGTGTTCTGCAGTTATTAGCCGTCTTAGGTTGTATTGTAGCATTAAGTGGGAGGCTGCCGGGGGATTATGTACTTTCTATTCATTACTAGATGGAGCCAGAGGCGGAATATATTTATACGCCTTCAGTTGGGGACAGAAGTCACTGAGGGACAGGATGAGAACTGAGCCTGCAGGGGTAGATACCACAGCAGGGCTGGCACTAGGGTGAGACAAGTGAGGGTGAGGGTGAGGCTGGTGAGGTATCCAGGGTACAAAATTGAAGGGGCACTCCTCCCAGTGTCCTGAGAGGGAAGGGTGGGCACCTGAAAGTGTGCCTGCCTACCGCACCAGTCTTGCCCTTGCACTGTGAGGAGTTGAAGAGGGCAGACAGAAGGAATATAGGCAGGACAGAAGGCACTTCCCGTGGCTTTGTATCTTCTAAGTCCTGCAAGTTTGGTTATCTTCCTGNTCTCTCTCACCGCTTTTCTCTCCCTCTTTTTCCCTGCCACCCTCCCTTTCCTTCTTTCCCACCCTTTCTTTGTGTACAAAAGAGAGAGATCAAAAGAAAATGATGAAAGCAAATACAGCCCCCTCCCCCCCGTATTCTATTTCCCAGTGTGTATTAATAATGATAATGGTAATAACAATAATGGTACTGTATTTCATTGTTCCAGTAGAGGCAGTGCCAAATCACTGGGGACATTTACTCAGAAATTGCTAGTTTTTATTTGTTTTCCCTTTTCCTCTGAAGATCTTTAAGTTTAAAAATTTGAATTATTGTAATATGATACTGCTTCTACTAAAACTATTTTAATCTTCTTCTTTGAAAACAGAACTGTGAAAAGATAGAGAACAATAAAAAACCATTTTTACATAAGAATGCTGAGTTTGAAGATCAGGGATATTACACCTGTATGTTTTTCCTTTATCATAATGGAAAACTATTTAATGTCACTGAAACCTTCAATGTAACAATAGAAGCAGGTAAGAGAAATTTTAGAATTGGGATGGAACAAATGTACCTTAGTGAAGCAGAGTATTTTCTTTCTTCTAAAGCTGTACAGGAATCCAGAGGCAGTTGAATTGTGACCATATCAACAGTTCAAATATAAGGCACCTTTTTGGCACCATCTACCATGCTAAAAGGTTTTTGGGGGTAGTAATAGAAAATTCACATAGGTGAACCTCCCATGAGTCAGCTGGCTATCTTATTTGGTATTTGAGTAAATTGTGGGGCCTTTTGTTGTCAAGCATATGCTTTCACTGAACAAATACTTATTGAGGATGTTTATATTTAATAAACTACTGAGAATTGGGAGGGAAGGGAAGCAGGAAAATATGAAATACAGTGAGTTATATACTATTCTCAAGGTATTTGATTATAGTCAGGAGAGGTGATAAGCCACATAGAGGTACCACGGTACAGGTGACCTTTGAACAACGCAGGGGTTAATGGCACCGACCCCCTGTGCAGTAAAAATATGTGCATAACTTTTGACTCCCCTAAAACTTAACTACTAATTGTCTATTCTTGACCAGAAGCTTTACCAAGAACATAGTCGTATTTCCCCATGTATAAGATGCTTTTTCAAAAAATTTGGGGTCTAAAAACTGGGCGTGTCTTATACAGTAGTTGTAGCTAATGTTTGGGAGTTTTGACAGCGATGAGGAGTTGTATGAATTTTATGATGACGAAAACTTGAGTTCAATAACTTTATGTAATACATTTTTTTTCAAATTTTGGGCCCCAAAATTAAGTTGCGTTTTATACATGGGAATGTCTTATACATGGGGAATATGGTAATACATATTTTGTATATTATATATTATATATTGTATTCTTACAATAAAGTAAGATAGGGTAAAGAAAATCATAAAGAAGAGAAAATACATTTACAGTATGTATTGAAAAAATTCTGCTTATAAGTGGACCCATGCTGTTCAAACCCATGTTGTTCAAGGGTCAGCTGTGTATGCAATGAGTCACCTGTGGAGGGAGTCCAGAGGAAGAACAGATGCAGGAGGCTCTGTTTGAGCTGGGTCTTCCAAGCTGAGTGTGATGGACAGCTGGAGGACATGCTGGGGGCAGGACGCTCTGATAAGAGGATATAAGGAGCACAGGTGTGGTGGTGGAAAGGAGCTGTGCATTCTGGGATGATGGCTAGTAGTCTGGTTTGTCATGAACCCAGACTATATATAACAAAAAACTGAAGGCTGGACTTTAGAGGTGATTTAACTAAACCTCACCTGGTGAAGATAACCTTCACATGGCACAGCCAGTAATTGGTCATCCAGTCCCTTCTTGGGAACTACCATGGAAATTACCAAACCACACAGGTTCAGATTTTAATATTTGATTGTTGGGAGCCATTTTCACCATTGAGTCCAATATGCCTTCATGTAGTTCCCCTCCCTGGTTTGTGTTTGCCTTCAGTGACTCCATAGATTAAGTCTGGTCCCTTCTTAATATGACAGCACCTTCGAGTATTTGAAGATAGGTGGCTTATCCACCCTACACGTTCTTTTCCATCATCTGGGAAACTGTAAAACCCCTGTGATGACTCATCAATGACCTCGTGGGCTCACAGGGATTAGAACTCATTTGCTTCAGCAGAATTTTCTTCTTCCCTTCAGCCACTTAAATGGTTATCCTCCATGGATTGCTGAGGGATAAATTACCATAAACTTAGTCTCTACACACAATGCAAATTTGTTATCTCCTGGTTCTGAAGGTCAGAAGTCTGAAATGGGTTCACTGGGCTAAAATCAAGCTTTGAGCAGGATTGTGTACTTTCTGGAGGTTCTAGACATGAGTGGGCTTCCTTGCCTTTTCCAGCCTCTAGAGGCCACCTGCATTCCTTGGCTCCTGCCACGTCCTCCATCTTCACAGTCAACAGTGTGGCATCTTCAAATCTCTTTCTGACCTTTGCTTCCCTCAGTCATATATCTTTCCCTGACTCTGACCAGTCTCCCTCCCTCTTATGAGGACCCTTGTAATTACATTGGATAGCCCAGGATACTTTCCTCATTCAGAACGCCTTAATTTAATCTCATTGTGAAGTCACTTTTGCCATACGAGGTATAAAATTCACAGGATCTGGGGCTTAGGATGTGAATAACTTTGGGGGCAGGGCATTATTCTGCCTGCCACCACCCATAACCTGGGAACTAAATTATAATATCAAACTCAAATATCTTAAATTTTATATATGACTCTTAAAGTCTTCAATTTTACTTTCCTCTGTGTGTGTGTGTGTGTGTGTGTGTGTGTGTGTGTGTGTGTGTGTGTATATATACTTTAATCTCATATAAGTCTCTGGTCCCTTAACACTTCTACCACCAACACTCCTCCCTTCATCCATCTTTGCTTTTTGTCCATCAGCTCCTTTCTTATTCCCCCTTAGAAGGAGTAATAAGAATATTCACTATCTAAAGAGCACTTACTATAGGCCAGAAGCTGTACTAAATACTCACATTGAATCTCATATAGTCCTTGCAACAGCCCTGTGAGCTTGTGCCCTTGGGTGAGTTAAATCACTTAGCCTCTTCGTGCCTCAGATTCCTCATAGTAAAATGGGACAGCGTTGGTTCATCCCTCATAGGGTCGCTTTGGGGACTGAGTGGGTGAATGTGTGTAGAGCATTGAGAATGGTGCCAGGGATCGGGAAAGTCCTATTGTTATCACCATCTCCCATTGCCCCATCTCCCCACATACGCACACTACTGCACATGTTGTTTTTCTGCCCTAACTACCCATCTTGTTTATTTATTTTTTGTCTTCTTGGAGACTGCCAAGTGTACCTTTCAGGACTCAGCTGAAATGCCCCCCACCTCTGTGTCTGTATGACCTCTTCTTGTTCACATTTCTGATTGCTGTCAGAAATGGGCTACACGTCTGTCTCTGTCAGTAGACTGGAAAGCTCTTGGAAAGAAGGAACTGAACTGAGTTCTCTTCCCATACTTATGCCTGGCACTTGGCACATAGTCAGTGCTTGTTACATGTCTAGTTAGTGAATTACTGAGCCAGCAACTGTTCCTTCAACTGTGCCTCATTCGACAGGAAGTCTAGACTCTGAACCATCCTGGCCATTTTCCTTTAGATTTGGTGAAGTGTGCCATCGTTCTTGTAAAATGTAGAGCTTACAGCTGAAGTCGATAGTCAGGAGGTGTCACGGCCTATGCTGAGTACAGTGAGACCCCGAGCTCCCACCTGCTCTGTGTGGTGTCTTCATTCACCTGAGGTTATGGACGTAGGTCTCTCAGCTAGCGTGTGGTGAGCATCAGAACCCTGAGCACAGTCTTCCCAGCTGCCAGCTGGCATCTTATTTTCTGATCTAGCGATCGTTCCTCCTATTGCTGACAATTTCTGTGGAATTTTGATTCTGTGATACTAGCTTCCTAGGTAGACGAGGCATGCCAGGGGCACCCAGTGAAGTGTTTTCTTCCTTCTGTTACCTCA